ATATCTTCTTTCTTCTGAAGATTATTAGTTGTACTCACAAAAAATGTAAATAAAAATAATTTATAACTTTATAAAGTTAATTTGTATTAGTGGACCTCATATATCTTGAACCTGACATTATCTGACACTATTCTCCTTTGTTACCAGAGAAGTACCAGGCGGGAAACGAATTCTGATAATAAATATTATAAACACTTTGCTGGGCATTAATATTTATTATCAGAACTATTCTCCTTTGTTATATTAGTTTGTTTTTAAAATTTTTTAGGGTGGACTACTAGAAAAGCCCTGACGGGCTTGTTAGTCTTCCTTCCATATGAATTTTATCTTTATATTTTATCAAAACTGTAACTGTATAATGGAAAAATAAAATATCTATCTATCTATCTACTTGGAGAAAGTAAAGGTAACGTTCAGTGGTCCATTGCACATATCAACATATATAGTTCAGTGCTTGGTAACCAAGCCTTAAAGTGATCCCAAAAAATTTTTCTGCTGGCGGCAATATTGGAAATTTTCAGTGAAAAACGTCGACTATAAACTCCAAAGTCCAATTATAAAAACAGACTCGTCACATCGAGAATTAAATATATATATATATATATATATACGTCCTTTTAAATAGCGTTTTAAATAATAGACGATGCAGCGAGAAACAAGAATGAAAAGAGAATTACAGTTGATGGAGAGAGACCCTCCTCCAGGAATATCTTGTTGGATGGTTGATGACCGTATTGATAATTTACAAGCAAGTCAGTATAAAATTGTGTAATTTGTGTAGGCCTGTGTAGACTGTAGACTGTAGATAGTAAGATAGGCATCATATATTGATAATGTCTCTTGTTAATGCAGTATTTTAAAGTATTTACTATAGCAAACGCAAAACCAGTGAAAAATTATATTCCACTCCATTGCATGTATATCATTTGTATTCATTATTTCATTGACTCCTAATCAGTTTAATAGGAAGTGTCAAGAAATAGATTTCGACTTGCTTTGCAGACTTGCCCTGAAATGTTGGGATGAAGTTAGCTAAGATCTGCAATTATTAAATAATACATGCTTCAGGAAAGTATGTCACTTTGGCTACAAAGCCAGGCCTTGTTTTTGTGATTGAGACCTCAGATTTAACTAATGGCAGGTACATCCAAGGCAGGAAAAGGTAGAGGTGCAATGAGTCACACTCCTTGGACCTTGGGAACTTCAGAATACCTGGCCACCCGGGGTGCATTCCATCCAATTGCCATGCCAGAGGTTTCAAAATATATGTATTTTTTACGCCAAGAAATTTGAAGTTTTACGCCAACCAATCACAAAAAGCGAAACGAAAATTAAAGCTTGCCAATTATCCAGTAAGGCTGACACACATATTTATAGTGAGTGGTCATTATTTTATTTTTTTTTTTGGGGGGGGGTTGGTAAATGGGGAAAATTAGGATTGAAAACTTTTTTGAACCCCCTTCAGACTGAAGGCAAATTTTTGTGCCTCCCCTCTCATAAAAGTAGAAACTTTTCCGACACCCCCCCCCAGTGTGGATTGAAAAATTAACAGCAATGAAACAGGTGTGTGTTGCAGGTAAAGTTAGATATTAGGACAATCTGTTTAATCGAGCTCTGAATGATGTTTTACCCTGGTGAATATGATTCAACCATATATGATTAAAAAATATATATTATGTGTTACTAACTACTATGCAATGCAACAGTTGTTCTACCATAACCCATGGCCTGTCTTCATACAGCGAAATGATTTGAACACAGGGCTTTTTTTAACAACTTGTCTGGGCCGGGGGGTGGGCATCTACAAAAAGGGACCATACTATACTGAGTGTGGAGAGATGACAGATGGTTGTTGGTAACAAAAAGTTTGGTTTGGTATCGTATGTACTAGTAGGGGCTAGGGGGGTCTGGGGGGCATTCTCCCCCAGAAACTTTTTTATTTTTTCACCTCTAGGACTGAAATGTGAGCATTTTCTGAAACAGATTTTTGGATATTCAGCGTTACATTGCACATTGATAGACCAAATCTGATCAGTTAAGTGCACTTGCATGGTATGTTTATGTAAATACCACAACTGGGTCACTCGGGGTAGGAAGCTTGTTAAACTTAGTGGTCCCGATTCCCACAAGGTGTTACCATGGTTGGTGCAGAGCAGGGAAATTTTGAAAATTTTGAGTCTCTAGATCGTTGGAAATGGCATTTTCAGAGTCTTCTTTTTTGCTATTTGTGATTATAGAAATCAGAACTCTAGACATGGTATTTAAGTTCAAAAACTTTTTTGACCCCCCCCCCCT